TCAAAACAAACAAAAACAAATGATCAAGTCCCTTAAAGAAAATTGCCCAAAGACATTTAACGCCGTTGCAATTATGGTCCAAACGATGACCCGCGCCTGTCCCTTTCACATCCTAACACAAGGTTGCCCACCAAATACAATGGTGGAGCAAACTTGTTAAAAGGGTTAAAGTATAGCAATAATCTTTTGAGAAATTTAGGAGTAGATAACCTCTTAGTTACTTGAATTAACTTGCAAAACAAAACACTTGCCTAATTTCAAAATCACACATCACTACACTTTCAAAATAACTTTCAAAAACAAATGAAAACCTTTTCAAAAGACATACATCTTTGTATACATCCCCACATGGATCATTACAAAGGTTGCCACCACATTGGCCTCTTTTCAAAACATTTTCAAACCCACACACTCAAGCACCATTTAAAACAATTGAAAACAAAAGGCAAGTGATCTAAGCAAGTAACTAAGAGCCCATGGATAACCATGGATAGAAAGGGTGCTAATACCTTCCCTTTCTATAATTTACTCCCCGAACCCAAGAAAACATCTCAAAAGGTTTTTGCTGTGCTTTTTAACCTTTCCTTAGGATAAAATAAAAAGTCGGTGGCGACTCTTGCTAACCGCAACATTTGCGTATACAAACGCAAAACCTCAAGTCAGTTCTCCCACCGTATCACACCCACCATAGTGTTTTTCTAAAGCTTGGATCTTGTACTGACACGTTTAAGTGTATGAACTAAGAACCAGGCGCTCTGATGCCAATTGAAGAAGTGAAAAACACAAGAAGGGGGAGGGGGGGGGGTTGAAACTTAAAATTAAAAGCGCAGTAGACACAATATTTTTATCCTGGTTCGTTTAATCTCAAACTACTCCAGTCCACCCGCCAAGTTGTTTCCTTTTTGTCTAAAATGAATTTGAATCTTTGAAATCCTTGAAATCATTACATGTGCATATACCATTCATCATAACATAAGCAGGTCTTTTGCAACAAATCTCCTCATCTCTCTACTGTTTATTTCAGTAAGATGGATCTCGAGCAAACAGTGAAAGACCTCCAAGCTCAGAATACACAGCTTCAGCAGGTGCTCTTGACCCTAGCCAAGGGACAAGAAGAATTAAAGACTTTACTGGATGAAGAGAGGAAAAAGAAAACAAAGAAGGTAACCAGAGTCCTAAACTTGGGAAGAAGATTTCATGGGCAGGCAAGAAGGACCTTAGACTTTGCAACAACATCCGGTAAAAGAGACAACCAAGATGGTAAAGGCAAGGAAACAGTTGTCCCGTTAGAATCAGAGGAGGAAGAGGAAGAAGAAGACTACTCTAAAGAACAATACCCTTCAGCTGATGACAAGTATAAACATCTCGAAGAGCGGTTGAGCGCGATGGAAATCCAAAAGGTGCCTGGCTTGGACTTTGAGGAATTGGGTTTGGTATCGGGGATTGTGATTCCTCCGAAATTCAAAGCACCTATATTCGCCAAATATGACAGAGTTTCATGCCCTAAAATGCATCTTCGGTCATATGTGAGGAAAATCCAACCCCATACCGCTGATAAAGACTTATGGGTGCACTTCTTCCAAGACAGTCTGTCTGGAACTCAACTTGACTGGTTTTATCAATTAGAAAGAGCCAACATCCACAATTGGGAAGATCTTGCCACAAATTTCTACAAACAATATCACTATAATGCTGATCTTGCGCCTACCCGTACTCAACTCCAGAGTATGGCCATGGTTTCCAATGAAGGTTTCAAGGACTACGCACAAAAATGGAGAGACTTGGATGGAAGAGTTCAACCCCCTCTATCTGAGAGAGAATTGGTAGACATGTTCTTGGGCACCTTGTCTGGTCCCTTCTTCAATCATTTAATCGGAAGTTCATCTGCAGGTTTTACTGAACTAATATTGACTAGAGAGAGGATAGAAGCCGATATAAAGAATGGAAAGATTTAGAAAGTTTTTGAAATTGAGATAAATTTATTACTTTGCAAAAGTATGATTAGAAGAGAAGTGTTCAAGAGAAACCCTACAAACCATAATTTTTTTGATGTTGATTCAACCCCTTCTCTTCTTTTGATCTTCAAGAAGACCAAAACACAATAGATACCAATTGATTTGTCGAATCTTGTTACTCTTTTGGGTACGAAACTCTAAAGCTCTTTCACATATGATCAATTGTACCTATTGCACGCAAGACCTTTCAATTCGATCCACCATTCTTGTGCAACTTCCTTGGGTACCAAACTCCAAAGGCTTTTCACTTAGTCGTAATCCTCTCTTGAAAGTCTTGAACAAAAACCCTAAAATCTACGAAAGATCTTAGAGGACAAACCTGAGGTTTTTCTAGATGAAACCCCTTAAAAATCTAAACCCAATATTCTCGGCTACATAAGAACCTAATTGAACGTTATCAAACCTCGCCTAGATGGTACCCTGATAAAAGATGATTATGTGTGATTTATCAGTGTGTGTGCATAAGTTGGAGGTTAAAGGTGAAGAGCAAATATAGTAAGTGTTTATAGTTTCATCAAGTTGGAATGATGCATGAATGATGTATTTATAGTTGTGGAAGTGTAAATGCAAATAGATAATTTTCAAAATTAAAAAGAATTGAAAAATTAACCTAATCAAACAATATGTGTTGGCCTGAAATATGTATGTGCCAACACATAAGTCAAAAACTAAATGTATGTGCCATCCTGAAAAAGCAGATGTGCCAGCCTATGCATGTTATACCCCATAAGGCAGTCTTGACCTTGGTGTATCTTCAGGGGTTGCATGTCGTTCTGAACACTCTGCAGCCTCTTCTGATTGAACAACTTCTTCTGTTGCAAACATCTTTTCTGGAGCAGTAGTCAGAGGGTGACTATCAGAATCTGGTTCAGTAACTTCTGAAAGTTGGTGCTCTTTCCAGGGAGGATTATCCAGCGGAAGAATTTCTTTCTTGTACCATTGGATCAAAACTTGATCTTGGAAGGCTTTCAGCTGATCACTGAAGTTCTGCTGAGCCCTTTAATAGCTCAATTCTTCCAGCTTCTGGGTTTCAGAGTTGAGTCATTTTCTGAATCTTTCCCATAGAGAATCAGAAGCAGCAGAATTAGAAATCTCTTGACTTGCTTGCTTCAAAGAAGTAATCCATTCCTGTATTTCTGTTTCAAAAACCAACAAATTCTTACCAACATCTGATTTGGTTGAGGTTGGTTTAGGTTTGGGAGTGGAAATTTTGTTTGAGGTGGAAGCTAGTTGGTCCAGCACTTGTAGATCAATGACAAGTCTGAGTTGTTCAGCTGGACGGTTGATAGGTGAGGGAGTGGAAGAGTCAGAAATCAGGATTGGTGAGTGAGGGGTATTTGGTGGTGTAGATTCATATGGTGAAGAGATTTTTAGAATATCATGAATGGAGAGAGGTAAATGAACCGTAAGAGGTTCTGTTATCCCAGGCATTTGGGTGGTGGTATCAGAGTCTGAAAGGGAGTCTTCTGATTGGTTTGCGGTAGCGTGTTGAATTTCTGGTTCAGGTATTTCAGAAGATGGATTTTCAGATTGAGGAGTGAGAGGGTTTTTCATTTTCTGGTTGGGGTGAGTTGAGGTTTTGATGTTCTGGTTGAGGAGAGTGTGGTTGTGAATTTTCTGGTTGAGGAGAGTGTGGTTGTGGATTTTCTGGGAGAGGTGAGGAAAAGTCTTGATCAAACAGTTCAATATCAGATAGAACTCTAGCAAGTTCTGGTTGATGTTGTTCTGGAGTTGGATTTGGATTGGGGGAGTGAGGTTCATTCAAGAAATTTCCAAGAGTTACAGATGGGTCAAACTCTATGTCAAAATCCTCAAATGTTTGGGGTGAAGGATTTTCTGTTGGTTGAAGGGGAATGGTTTCAGATGTTGGAATAACTATTGATTCTACAACAGAAACAAAAGAAAAGTTACCTTTCTTTTTCGCAGCCTTGAGTGTCCTCTGAGAGAATCCTTCTCCTGCTGCTTTCCTCTTTCTGGATTTCTTTAGCACAACCTCTGGAGCTGGCTTGTGCAGATCTTGGATGTTGATTTCTGGAATAGTCCCATCAGCCTTGCAAGCTTCAAGGTATCTGACTATGATTTCTGGAGAGACATCTATCTCAGAAAATAGTGGAAAATCCTTCAGAGAGATTCTCCTAGAAGTGATGACCTCATGAGAAGCAATTGTTGGTTCCTTCTCAATGTTCTCAATAATCTTCATTTTCTTCAGATTTTTGGGAGTAAACTTTTGTATAACTCTGTTGTTGAGATCTAGTTATTGTTTATGCTGAATTTTTAAAAAATGATTTTTATCACTTATATTAAAAAGTTAAAAGTAATTGTTATTGATATTTCCCGCTGTGAATAAATGAAATGAAATTTAAGATTATAGAGTTTAAAACTATTAAGACATTGACATTATAAGATTCGTCGTAAATGTATTTAGCTTAGATATAATTTAAAAACATTACTTATTTAATACATTTTAAAAATAATAATTTTTTATACAATGAACAAGGGAGTACTATATGCTTGTGGGAGATGCCGACTGATTTGCCTCTTTTGTTGGGTTTATCTCCGACGCCATTTAGAAGAAAAAAAATAAGGTAGTAAAATAATGCTAGAATTAATACACTTCTTAACACAACAAAACAAGTTTGTTTTGGAGAATGAATTAAACAATGAAGTGTAGTGTTTGCTAAATACGAGTACAAAATATAAAAGTCAGATGTATTTGATTTTTAGTACAGATTTTTGTTTATATTTTATTTTTAAAAAAGTTATTTTAAACATGAGAGAGAAAAGTAGATATTTTAAAAAGGATTCATTCATATAATATGAAAAGACTCGTTGTTACTTATGACTAGTAGCTAGCTTAAAAAAAAAATAAAGCTGTTTTCTTCTTCACTTTCTCTTTTTTCACGTTTTTCTTTTTATTAATAAACCCCCAAACACTGAAAGAAAGCGTAGAAGATTAATCAAAAAACAAGCACTTGTTTTCTCTACATGGGTTGCGCAAAGCGGCAACTCGAAGACAACAATGCCGCAGGTTTCATCATGAAACGGTGCTTGTTGGTGCTGTTGTTATTAGGAACGTCAGTTGTTAAAGGCGAACAACACAAAAATGCGTATGCTACTATGATGTATGTGGGTACACCAAGAGACTATGAATTTTATATCGCAATACGAGTTCTTTTCAAATCACTTTCTCTCCTCAATGTTGAAGCTGATCTTGTTGTTATTGCTTCTCTTGATGTTCCTCTTCGATGGATTCGAGCTCTGTAAGTCTGTTTCTCATCTTTACGATTGTTAGTTACTTACTCTACTTCTTCTTGTTGCTGTTGTTCCCCCGAAACTTCCGCTTAGGTTGATTTTTTTAATTGATATTTTTTTATGATATCAAGAGATAAGATCAATAAAAAAAATGAAACAAAGTTGAGTTTGGACTAGGGTTTTGTCTGAGACCAATTTTGGTTTGATTGTGTTCGTGTTTTTTGGGTTTTTGAGAATGGAAGACTACAACACCGTCCTAGTCCGGCTTCAATGGTATCTTCTGAGAGATCCCAATAAACTCCTGTTTTTGTCTCCACGCGCTCACGCGTTTCTTGCATATAGTACTATTTTTTTAAGAAAATATCACAATTGAATACTGACAGTAAAATTCTCTCTTTACATGTTCAAGACTGAATTCGACCACATGAACTCTGGTTAAGTTTATTTAAAAATGGAAGAGACCCTTATTTTATTTATTTTTCCTTTTTAAGTAGTGATTTTCTTATTTTTTTAGTTTTTAGTCCTAACCCGTTACGGTAAGTTGTTACATATGTTTTGACTAAGTCAGTGGTGGTGGTGGTGTTGTAAACGCTTTGGAATTGCGCGTTGTGTAACATTGTTTGAGGATTCTTTCAACCGTCCTTGTTTACACAAACATATCGGTCTTTCTGGTTTCTTTCGTGCCTTGTCTCTATTCCTTCTTTATCCTTTTCTTTTTCAGAGACTTGTTTTTTATAATGCACTCTTTTTTGTTTTTTATTTTTCTATAACTCAATTCATTTTTAGACACACCAAGTTGAATTTTAAAATATTTTAATGTTTGCTGGTTGTGAATTTTAAAATACTTTGTTTTCACTTACAGGTGTATCCTTGCCAATAATATTTACTTACAGTGAAAAAAAAAATAATAATAATAATCAATAATACAAAATTTTTACTTACATCATATTCTTTAACAATAATATTCATACAATTTATTGAAGCTTCATTATTATGAGTACTTGTCTTTGTGACAGAGTAACGATATTGATGGCAAGGATTTAGACTTTGTCAATGTGGTGGTCCATACAGCCATACCATTATAAGATAGAGAACAAATTTGTGGGCTGAAATTAACACCGTCTTTTTGATTTCTGGCTAGGGGCGGATGTAGGTCGGCGTGTTTCGCGTCAAATCTGTAGTTAGATTTTTTTGAATTGTCTAGTAACTGTAACTCAGATTTATGGGTCCGAGTTCAAACCCACAATAGTTATACTCTCTGATCCTTATTATAAAAAAAAAATGATAACTCAGTGCACGAGGCTCCCATTTTATGAGCTCTGATCCTTATTATAAGGAAAAAAAAATATATTTTAGCTTATTGAATAAGCAATTTCTCTGATTTTTATTAGAAGAAAAAATTTACTTATATTTTAGATTATTGAATAAGAAATTTCTCTGGTCCTTATTATAAGAAAAAGTTTATATTTTAGATTATTGAATAAGCAATGTATCTGACCAAATAAAGTTTAGTTTCTTTTTGTACTCTTCTTTTCCAAAATATAATTCAGATAAAGGAAAAGCCAATCCATTAAGGTTTGGCGTTATATGAAAAAGGCACAACATTTGATGGTATTGATATTTTTATTATGTGTTGGACAAGTATAGTTACTTGTATGTATGTATTAAGTACTTAATTTAGTTGATAATTGGTTGTATAATTGACCATAGTTTTCTTTCTTTATGACTTTGTGTAGTGAAATAGAAGATGGTGTGAAAGTAGTGAGAGTGGAAAATATGGATAATCCATACAAGCATCAAGATAATTTTGACAAGAGATTTAAATTATCGTTGAATAAACTCTATGCGTGGAGCTTAGTGGATTATGACAGGGTAGTCATGTTGGACGCTGACAACCTCTTCATACAAAATACCGACGAGTTGTTTCAATGTGGACAGTTTTGTGCTGTCTTTATCAATCCTTGTGTTTTTCATACCGGTCTCTTTGTCTTGCAGGTATGTATGTCCAAAATATCCTACACAATTAAATTGCCACGAAAGTGCAGCTTAACTCCAAAATTCACATGATTACTAGTTAGTAGTTACTTTAAATGAGTCATAGTATTTGTTTTTATGTGCACCACTCACTAAGTCATAGGAAACTTTATGTGACAGGTGAATCATCTTAGTAGATTTTTTCATATGGGTTCTAATTATTTGATACTTGCAGCCATCAACGATCGTCTTCAAGGACATGGTTCGTGAACTGCAAAATGGGAGAGAAAATCCAGATGGTGCAGACCAGGGTTTCATAGCTAGCTACTTCCCGGACTTGCTTGATAAACCATTGTTTCATCCACCTCCAAATGGCACCAAACTTGATGGAACATATAGACTTCCTTTAGGCTATCAAATGGATGCTTCTTATTACTGTAAGTTTTTAGGGGATTTTCGTTGCATATTATATATTTTGATTCTGAATTCACGCCAACATTGATTCGGACTTCAGATCTCAAGCTTTATTGGAGCGTACCTTGTGGACCAAATAGTGTGATTACATTCCCAGGGGCGCCGTGGTTGAAGCCATGGTATTGGTGGGCGTGGCCTGTTCTGCCATTAGGCCTCCAATGGCATGAAAAGCGTCGTCAAACTTTGGGGTAGGTTCCATTATAATTCTTGAGTTTGGTTCTGTTAAGTTTTTGTTATAAATTTATTTGTGTTAAAGTACGTAACTTATAGTAAAAATGGGTTCATTCTTTTTATCAGATATGGTACAGAGATGGCTGTGATATTTATTCAATATGCAATATATTTCGGAATAATTGCAATGACGCGTTTAGCAAGGCCAAGCCTCTCAAAACTATGCTACCGTCGTTCCTATAAGAGCATCACATTGGTACAAAACATCCTCAAATTAGTAGCACTATGGAGTATTCTTGCTGCTTACATAACACCTTTCTTCATTATTCCTCCAACAATTCACCCTATGCTAGGCTGGCCTTTATATTTTCTCGGCTCTTTAGCTCTATGCTTGGTTGCAATCAACGCGTTTCTTCTTCCAATGTTACCGGTTCTGATGCCTTGGTTCGGTATTATTGGAGTTTTAATTGTCATGGCGTTTCCTTGGTATTCAGATGGTGTAGTAAGAGCTTTATGTGTGTTTGGTTATGCATTCTGTGCTGCACCGGTTTTGTGGAAATCGATAACAAGGATAATGGCTGGACTTCAGGTTTCTTTAGAAAGGGAAGGTTTTATGCCTAGATTAGGTGAATCGTCACCGCCTTCTTGGTTTAACAAGTTATATTGAGGTTTCTAATTGGGCATGAAAACATTAACAGGAAAAAAGAAAGGTGTTATTGTGTATATAAGATTATTTTGCAGTTAGTTATATAGGTGAGGTGATGGTGTGCCTGATTTGTTCCTGTATTAAACTTTGTAAGTCTGTTGGGCAGTGACATAGGAGAATAGAAATAGGTATCATTGGATATTTAAACAACTCTAAATCTGTTTTACTAGAAAAAGTCAAGCTTGTTTTATTTCATTCAAAATAGCATCACATATGAGTTAGGATAAAATCAAAGACATAATAACTGGTATAACATTTTGTCTCCCCTACTATCATACAAGTAAGAATTTATTTGATATAAATTGGATAAAGATAACATCATATTTGACCGATATTGGTGAAATAGAAAACTAAAAAGATGAATGTCTCGATGATACGAGGGATTTTGATGGAATTTGTATAAGGATAAAGACTAATTTTATATCAAGGGATCAAATTGATGAATGTATCTATTATGTTCATAAATGATGAAGAATGCAAAAAGTTTTAACAAATAAAAATTTATCAACTAAAATAATCTATCAACATAGTTGTGTTTTTAAATGTATATTCAAAATATAATTCAATAGAACATTCAAAGTATGAAAACAATTGCATCTAATAGAACATCTAAAATATAGTGAATATTTATAAGTGAAAGACATAAATAAGCTATACACATCCAACATAATTTTCAAAATATTTAGAACATCCATAACTCAAAACATGATATACCATTTACATTCAACATAATATCCAAAAAAAAAACATAAACATAACATGTCATTTGCATTTGATACAATAGCAATTAAGTCAAAAACATAATAAAAAAAAGCTTAAATAATTAATTTGTTTTTGTAAATTGACGTGTTTTTAGTTCTCATTTATATATTTTTTTCCTTTTTGAAAAAAATCTTTAAATATTTATATTATCTAATTTTAGTCTCTGGTGTTAATATTCCATTTTAAAAAAATAACGTGGCAAATGTTGCTGATGTAACATTAGTGACATGGTTTTGAAAGATGAAATTCAAAAAATTAATTTTACAAATTCATCTTCTTCATTAACCAATCTTCACTTTTATTTTTTATCTCCAAACATTCAACCTCTATTTTTTCTCATCTCCCACCCAATGCCTCTATTTTTTCCATCTCTAACCTTTAGTTTTTCTCATCTCCAACCTGCAACCTCCATTTTTTCTTCATCTCCAACATTCATTTTTTCACTTTCAACCTCATTTTTTTCTTCATCTCCAGCCTTCAACCTCCATGTTTTTCAACACCAACCTCTACTCCAATCTCTATCTTCAATCTCCATCCTATATCTACAACCTCCATTTTCAACCTCTATCTTCAACCTCCAACCTCTATCTCCAACCTCTATTTTTTCATCTCTAACCTCCATTATTTCATTTCCAATCGTTTATTTTCAACCTTTTTTTCTACACATTGAAACATGTCTTCAACCATGGCTGTGGCGTTTCCTTCTTCAAGAGCAATAAGATAGAAGGAAGAAAAAAGATACATGGACAAAAAAATTCAAGGACGAAAAAATAAGATAAATGGAGGATGGATATAAAGGGACAAAAAAAACGATATAGGGACGAAAAATAAAAACTTTAAAGATTAATTAACTATTTAAGCTTATATTAATACATAAGTTTAAATGCATTATACTTGAATTGCATTCTATTTGAAGTGTTTTGTATTTAATATTGTGTATCATAGCAAAGTTGCAGAATTATATTCAACACAGATCAAAGATGCATCTCTAGACGTATCTCAAATCAGTATATTTCTGAATCAAATCTTAAGGGGTTATTTGAGAGTTATTTTTTGGGAGGGTTTTGGAGGCGAATGATTTGGAGGGTTGCGTCTATATCTTAAAATGTGTTTGATATTTTTTAAAAATTTTAAAAAATAATATAATTTTATATACTAATGTAGTATATTGTTTTTTAAACTTTTTAAAAATATGACACATATTTTTTAGATATAGATGCACCCTCCAAAGTCTTTTCCTCCAAAAATCAACTCCCAAACACTCCTTAAGACAATGTGAAAAAAAAATACAAAAATGCATCTCCGTGTAACTTACGGAGATATATCTCCGGACGTTGTTTGTTCAAAAACGCGCCAAAAACCTTTCTCCTTTCTCACTTCTAAAAAAATAATCTTCTAAAGAAACATCCAACACCAATTTTCTCAAACCCACATTCTCTCAAAATCATTCAACAAACTTCAAATCTTATTCCATCATCATCAAGTACATCAAAGAGCTCACTCAACACCAAAGTAAACACACAATTTATAAGATTTTTATTTTTCTAATTGTTTTTGAATTTTTGCATAATTTTGTAGAAATTGATGATTAGGTTATGAAATAGGTAGTTTATACATGTTATGTAATTATATAACCTATGAGAAACGTGTTTGATAGGTAATTTTATTGATCAATGCACTATTTTTGATGTTTTAGAGTGTGCATTTCCGCCATTGGCGCTAATGGGAGTTGCAGAAAATTTCGAACATGCATCTCCAAAAAATTTCAATGTTTTGATTCTCAGAAACTGGAGATGCATCTTCGATGTTTTTCAATGTATTTTTTGACATTTTTATTGTGTTTCATATATATATATATATATATATATATATATATATATATATATATATATATATATATATATATATATATATATATATATATATATAAGTATAACATTTGTATGGTTGATAGACAAAATTGATTGAGGCACTGTAGAATTGCACAACATGCATCGGTTCAAAGAAAAAAGAGTCAACTATCGCATACTTATGTTATTTCTACCCTAGTTAATATGAAGGCGCCAACTTCAAAGGCTCATATATCTTCTCCTTCTTCTTCTCGTAGGAGATGGGTGTCACCTAATCATGCATCTTTGTTTCATCTCTATATAGGAGATATACTTCGGCTTTAAAATAAAATTATAATATTCTCCAACACAAACACAAATCTTACTAATTTAATATTATTAATTTTATATTAATTTATTAATTTATTTAAGTATAAATAAGAATAATTTAAATACATATATACTCTAGACTTGGCTTTAAAATAAAGTTATGATATACTCCCATCCAAACACAAGTCTTAAAGTTTTTTACTAGTCAAATTTAAATATTACAGTATAAGATTCACCTTTTGCGGTACTCCAAATTCGAGAGAGGATTGAATGAGTTTGCTTTTAGTGTATTTGAAAGAGAGAGAAATAATTAAGTAAATTATTTATTGAGAAAAAAACTTGTATGTAAAAAAAAACCTCTAATTTTTGATGTTGAACATCTTACAATATATGACTTCATTGAACACTAGCAAAGGAGTAGTAGAACCACAACCTCACCACCAAATTGCAGGGATCCGGATCGTCTGCGTGGTTTCTATCCTATGTTTATATTGACTATTAGATTAATTTAATGGGTGAGAAATAAAAAGTTAAGAAAATATTAAATGGAGAAGAAGAATAAATTGAAAAAGAAAGGAAAAAACTCTTGATTGTGTTTCCTCAAATTTCTTTGTGCTCGTCATTTTCACCAAATCTCCCACCAATTCTCCACCCTTAAACATATCCAAGCCTCTCCTTCAACAACATATACGATGAACGATTTATGGCAACACGGAGAAGAAGATATGTGAGACTATACAAAGATGAGGGCGACACTAAGACACATAACCTAATTATCTTGATTACACTGAATTCTTGAAATACGACATATATATGATAGTCGATTTACAGCGACACGAAGATAGAGATTTACGAGATCATGGAGACAGAGATTTACTAATCTGTTGGAACATGTCCTTGTTCCAATATGTTGAATTTAAAAATTTCTTAAGTCCCACATTGTTATATTTTTATTTTGTGGTTGAAAAAATCATTTAGTCTCGCATTGCTCATGTGAGAAATGTTAAATAGCTTACTTCACTATATAAGGAGTGCACGTGTTTCATTCTAAAACACACCAAAAACTATTTTATTAGTTTTTCCTTCCTCACTCTCATAACTCTAGATCTTTCGAATTGTCGAAGTGCCAACTTCTTCCCCTTTTTTTCTACTCGTTGAATTTTCTGAGTTTTTTTCTTGAATTCTCTCTCTTTGTTGGAGAAATTATTATGAATGGTCAAATAACCATTATTAAATTCTCTTTGGAGAATGATTTGAATTTCTCTTTGTTTGAGAAAATATTACGATTGGTTTTTGTACGAGATACTACGATTGGTATTGATACTGATCGTACCTGGTCAGCGTTTGACCGTTACAGCTGGCTTCGGACTGGATTTGAAGGAGATGGGGGGGGGGGGGGGGGTACCTGCAAGATACTCTGATGGCAAAGTGAGAGACGGAATGAGCAAGTATGTATGTAGGTGTGAATGAATGAATACTTGACCCTCTCATGAGAGAGGGTATTTATAGCTCCCAGCGTTGGGCCAAGGTCCCCACTATTGGGCTACGCAGAGGCCTAATAACGGGAACTGCCAGAGTTTACGTGAGTATGAAGTTCAGCAAGTGGACTCCCCCCTGGTCAACTGCTCCGCGAGAATAGGGGTGGACTCGAAATTCTCGGAGGGCAGTTTGATATGTCCGTTGAGAAGTGGTGGGCCACGTCCCCCAACGGTTAGATGGGGAGGTGCCCCACAATCTCTAACTTGGGTTGTTTGGGCCTTTTATTCGTAGGGCAAATGTAGGCCCAATCCAGATCATGAGCCCCCAAAGTTATTGTCCTCGAGTTAGAGGGTGATGACTTAAGTACAGTTCTCGTTATCGAAGGCTTGGTCGAGGTAGAGGGTCGAAGTTCCCGAAGGGAGCGGATCGTTGCCCGCGGGGGGCAGGCTCAAATATGTCGGGGAATATCATGGACGGAGATCGAGATCGGAAGGCTCATCCGCTTGCTCGAGAGGGCATATTGGCAGCGAGGGGCCTTGGTGAGGTCCCCTTTGACACGTC